CAACGACTCCACAAGTGCCTCAGATTGAGAATGTTGATCGAGATTTAGCGATACGAAGCGAAACTTCTTTGTTGATAGTGCCGTCAGCTGAAACACTGCTCCCAAAGCAGATAAAACTATCAACTTGTTCAAGTTGTGCACCTTCGAGAGTGAGCACGGGAGCAGGTGAAAGGCAATCCTTGAGCAGTACTTTACACTTCGATAGGGCGAAGCTCCTGCCATACTTAGATGTTACAACCGCCAAACGGTCCAGAATGAGTTGCCTGCCCTGAGAATTGTCACCAAGTAAGGCGATATCATCAGCATAATCTAAGTCGGTCGCGCGCTCACCCGGTAGAAGCTCTAGTCCAAAATGTTGGAAACCTTCTAGAGCATTCGACAGAACGTCTTCGATTGCGAAGTTGAAGGGGAATGGGGACATAGGGCAGCCCTACCACACACCGCTACTGACAGCGAATTGCGAGGAAAGCTTGCTATAGACCCTCACTCTGCCGGATGTGTGAAGGTAAAGTGCTCGTAAGCTGGCGGTATATTTCTCTGGCATCCCGTTCTTTAGCAAACAACGCCATAAATCAGGTCGAGCAACGAAGTCAAAAGCAGCACGTATGCCTAGGCATGCAATGACAGTGGGCCTGTGATAAGTGTGGCGATGTTCGAGGAGCTGGCGGAGCGTGAAGATTTGATCCACGCATCGGCGGCGGGGACGGGAACCAGCTAGTTATTCACGGCAGGATCGTTCACGTATTGGGGATAGTCTACGGAGCAGAATGGATGCTTGAAGACAACCGCAATAAGAATGATCCCGCGATGATTTACACATGAAGTGCGAGCGCCTTTCTTGAAAATCGGGACAATAACTGCTTCGCCCCAAGACGAAAGCACTTTCTCTTCATGGCAGATTTTTACGAACAGCACGGTCAGCTGGTTAATGATCGCCACACCGCCGTACTTGAATAGCTCCGGAGGAAGTCCGTCTAAGTTGGCAGCCTTGAACCGCTTCAAGCGTCTAATCTCGAGGCAGACTTCCGCTTCGTTGGGTGGATTCAGTGGGAGGAGCCAGGGTGGACAACTAGGTGTACTGCATGTACTGATGGATTGTGGAGGCCATTTGCACTGCGAATGAAAGCGCTTGGTCCAGCGGTCCATATGTCTCTGTTGGTTGGTGATCGGAGACTCATCCGCCTAGCAACTGACCTCACTGACACCAGGCTTCCTGAGACCAGTGGACCGAATAAATTGAAAAAGCTTGCGAGCGTTGCCAGAGAGGGCAGCGGTCTCCAGCTCCAAAGCACATTCAGACCACCATGCCTCGCGATCCTTGCCTAGGCTTTGCCTGAGCAGCCGGTTGGCAGATCGGCGCCGCTCACTGCCGTCTGATTCCGACGGGATAGCTTTGCGGCGTTCGAACAGCTCCAGAGAACGAGCAGAGATCCAAGCCTTTAAGGAACGTCGAGCTAGGCCGCAGCTTGACTGTCCGGAAATGGTCATTGCTTTCCGTATACAAGTCCAGTGTTGTTCCACTTCTTGCGATGGAGTGCAACTGGGTGCATATGCTTGTGAAAACTGATAGCTCGCCTGGACAGAGGTATCAGTTACTCTGTTTACAGCAAGCTTGCGGTGCTTCTTGTTTCTGGACCCCCAAAACACATGCAGCTTTTTGCGCAGACCAGTGCATGCTCTGGGTCAAAGAAGATGGACCAAAAGGACCTGCAGTCCAGTACGCTGCTACACCATTTGAAGCTAATTTTAATGTGATGAGTTTGAGACCATGGTTGTGCTGTGAAGGGGGGCGCCACGTTGTGGAACACTTCTTCGTAAGCCCGAAGTTAGTGCTCGAGAGAAACAGATGGTCATCTTCGCACAATGTGAGAAGTCACTCTCTGTTTTCAGAGAGGTTCTCATCGAGCCCGTGGTGATCACCAAGGTGTCGTTTGTATGGTAACAAGTGACCAACCCGTGCACTAAAATCCCCAGAAAAGACAACGACATCCGACTTTTTAGCATTAGTGCGAAGCTGATGTAGATCTCGTTAGGATTCGTCCTTGACCGAGCTGTCACTGCAGTCAGTTGGAGCGAACACCGAGATCACAAACAAGTTGCGTCTCTCTTCACGGTGCTTGTTGATTCTACATGAACCCCGAAGCCGAACTGCACATATTCGTCTGTTAATCGGGAACCAGTCCAGTAGTGCCGCCTCGGCCTTGCCACTTAGTGCTATACCTACACCAGCCAAACCCGCTGAGGCTGCTTCTGGATCTCCAGAAAGACGTAGGTGATATCTGGCTTCGTGGTCAGTGGTGAATATCAATGTAAGCATAGCGCTGGGATCTTGCAACCGGGGTTTCTGAAAGGCAGCAGACATCAATGTCTAGGGACTCTAAGGTGCCCGCTAGACCGGCTTGCTGTCCGATCTGCATAAGTGTCCGAACGTTGTAGCACGCCAGACAGAACGAGGATCGGGGACGAAGGAGAGCCATAAGTTGAACTCCTTGGTCTGCGGCGCAACGGGAATCGCAGCCAGATTGTTGAACACATGAATCGTCTAACGGAAAGTAAGAATTGTTAGCAAACAAACAATTGGCGTGTGATGAACTCCCGTGAATGTGAGAAGCATTAACGGTAGCTGTTCAGCACGTTGTAGTACAGTCCATGGTTTTGTGAGAGGGCGTGATACTATCCGGTTGCCCAAGCCGAAGTAGGGTGTTGACTTAGGGGACCCTACCCGAGCCTTTGGCTAAATAACATACCCGCAAGGCAGCGGGGCAAATTTAAGGAATCGCGCCAATTGGAAGGCGCTGAGTGGATGCTGAGTTCATACGTCTTTCGTTTGGTAGATCACCAAACAGGGGCCCAATACTCCCCATGAAAGCAGCACAGTTGCTGGAATACAATGACCCACCGGAGTGGAACACTTCGTTGGAACAGGGTACACCGAACTACCCAGCTGGCACCACGAGGAGGTAGTTCGACAAGCCAGCGCAATTCGATATCCAGTGATGATATAAGCAAAAGGCGAAAGAAACAGCACCGTACTTAATCTGCCACCACAACGGAGTGTCTCATCCTGGCTATTGGCTACTTGTTGGCTCTGGATGGGGATTGACGCAAGCAATCACGCATCAAATGGTCCCTCACTAGATCACCGATGGAATCTTGGTCAACAGCGAATTGACTGTCGTAGTCACATCTGCAGTATCAGAAGAAAAGTGAGGCATTTTGTCGCGCCAATCCGATGAGCGACGCCGACAAGTTGATTTCCCCGGTAACTCATGTTGCGACATCAACTTAAGACAGGCAAGCTTTCGAAATCGTGAAGTTTCACTCCGCATAAAGTGGTGGGTTTAGCTGCTTGGTTCGAACAAATTAGAACGTCATGAGAAATTTTCTGGGTGTTTAGG